TTCAGCATGCGTGATGGTGTCGCCTTGTAGTTTGTACAAGTCTTGACGATACTCATGAAGTGCATATGCAATAAACTCACGGATGAATCTGTTTCTAATGAAATATACTTCTGAAAGAAATTTAAGATTATGGTTTTTGACAACAATCAATCCTACAGACAGAATATTCTTCAGAATAGTCGTGCGGCTCGGGATCGCCATACATCATACATCGTTGACATGCTCTACTCGCTCACTCACACATACATACATAAGGAACGAGAGTGTATACACACACAAAGGTATCACAACTAGTTATAAATATGTCAATTACTACCCTCGGAAAAATCTGTCCCTTTGATTTTCCATGGACCTTCAAAGGGCAAGAATCACACAACCAGGCGGACAAGCACAATTGGTGTCAAGCTTGCTACTCCATTGCCGAAGTACCCACAACAATCCAATTTAAAGAACCATCAGACCCGACTCCGATCTGATCCGTGAATGACGTAGGCGGAAAAGTAAACCACAGTCATTGTAGGTCACCACAGAAGCCAGCCCCCAGACTACCGCCCACGCTGTTACAGCTGACGCAAAACCACCTTCCCGACCTCCAACAAACAGACACCCGCAGCTGTGCGTCCCATGAGCCCTTTTCCATGTGGATGCAGATTCAGTTGACAGGCTTCTCACATACCATAACCACAGCTGGAAATATATCTTGTGGCTTTTGTAAACATCACATGTTACTCCAGTAAACCCCGTTCACGTATTCTAAATTGATCATTTTCACCCCATCTAATATGGAGTTTAAATCTTGACATCCCATGCATGGACTTCCTGCAGTGATTCCTTACCATGCACTGATCTCTTCATCTTTAACAGGGTAACAAAATTTCATACCATCTTTTGTTTTGATACTCCAACCTTGACCGCGTGAAACTTTCCCTGCATCATGCACACCTGCAACCTTTACACCACCTTCACTTGCATCTTCCGCATATCATTTTGACTTTTGTCTAAAATAGCTAATTTCATGGTTCGAGTGCTCTCTTTTCTTGTTCATTTATGTTCTATGCGTGCATAGTACAGACTCCCGAGTGTCTTCAATAATTATATCCGACTGCCATGATAGAGCAACCTAGTCTGTTTAGCAGTTTAAGCTCGACTCATATCTTGAATCTGCTTATCAGATCGTGTCTTGACTTCTCACCTTGCCTGCTAAGTACGCCTTCAGTTTATTTTAAAACTAGCTATACTGTCAAGCACAGTCATAAGAATACAGCGAGAACCTTCTCTTCAATCTGAAAAGCCAACCTCGGTATCACTCTTTCACTGTTGATAAATATCAATCCCTCACACATCTTGACTCAAGCTTCATAATCATATTACACTCACTTATTCGTGTCTTCTCTTGCACTGTTGAGGTCAACTTATAGCTTCTTATACACTTCATCATCTTCTCATTATCTCGTCTTTTCTAAATCGATGAAGTCTTTTGAGCCTTATGCTTTTGGCAAGGAACACAAAAACCTGCGCGCTCTGCTACCTCCATAATCCACAATCCCTCAACATCCACAGGGCTATCATGCCAATATCACTCTAATTAATGAACTCCAGACGGGAGATGCAATTAAGGGACGGCCGCACTCAAGCCATCACGATACAAGGAGCTAGTGAAAAAGAGATAAGCTGCTGCGACCATCCGTGACCTGGCAAAAGCGCAGCAAGATTCCAGCTCAATTGGCAAATTCCCTTCGCACTTATGCGCAAGCTCATTGCGTCTACAGCCCACCTTGATCCTCAAGGCTTTGATCCAAGCCGATTATCACAGATCGTGACGAGCTACATGATATGCAAAACATGACGATTTTGGCCGAATTCCAGCATTGCTTGCATAAATCCGCACCCTGTAAGGAATATCTTGTCTCAAGTTTCTTGAACAACTCTCGGCTTTCCCCTTTTCATTCGCTTCATTTGTATATTGTGATCTCTATCGAATGCGTTGGAACACAACTCTTAGAGAAAAACGATGAGAAACACTTTGCAGGAAGAAGACCACGAAGAGAAAACTGAGAAAAGCACGAATGAAAACACAAGAAAAATCCAAGCAAAAATCTGAACACACTAGACTGAAGTATTCACTAATCACGCAGTTCTTCGAGTGAAATCTGATGTGCAAGATGACACAAAAGTACACATGGTAGTCGAGCCAAACTCACTCCACTCGGAGATGTAGAGTCGAAGCTAGCGGGAACTAACATATATCTACGCGAAAGGCTCGACTCGAAGAACTGACAGTTCTTTGAGCTCTCCTCGACTATACTATGGATCGAGAGTCAATTCAACTCAACGCTCCTCGATCATCAGCCGCGTCCCAACGTCATCCGACTCAAACTCAAATCCAACATGCATAAACATGACAAAATAATGATAGAATATAAAACCTGTGAATTGATTGGTACATGTCCATTTGGCAGTTGTACACTAACACTACCAATATTGAGGATGTCATGTCCATGACCACCTGTAGAGATAACGTTGGAGCACTTTTAATGTTGGATGATTGTGAACATTGATCAAGTTTTGGTGATGTGATGTGTGACACTTGAGTCAAGATGCTAATGAAAAGTTGACGACTGAATTTCTTCCACAACATTTAATGTCATAGCAAGAACAAATTTGTAGATTGTGACTTTTATGTCGATGTATGAAGTGGATCTAGAAGGAGATTGACGAATTTTTCTTCGTTAGCATCTGGTTCTTCATTGTTGTCATCTAGTGAATGATCTTCACCACGTGGACGATGTTGTTTTCACTTGTTATCAAGACGATGCTCCATGTCGAGCATCTGATAACAAGGACAGTGATATCGCTTTCTCATTCAAGATGTTCTTCACAGAGACAAAAATCATTGAAATTGTTTGCTCGAGGACGTGAAGTTCCCCTGGGTCAAAACCGCGACTGATATGTTAAAGAACCACCAAGTGGTTCTATAGTTCCTGTTCTATTCATTTCATAGTTCTACTTGAAATGAATAGAACGGGAACTGATTTCGTCTAAGAAACAAAGCACGACAAAAACCGATGTTATTGTAGCTTGACATATTACTGTTCTTGACATCGATGATTCGGGAAAGTATCATGTTATAAAATCTATCTCGCTGGATTACGAGTGATTCTCTTGCCTTCTCTTCACTAATCAAATCTATTGTTATTTTTTCGCTGAGCAAAATGGATTCCATTTCCTCAGATGAAGGAAGTACAAAATTATCCATTGGCATACATCGAACAATCTTGTAATCTCTCGGAAGATTTCTGAGTGCATAATGTACTATGACCTCATATGGCAATTCGACATTAACCTCTTCTAATAGGTATCATATGTTTCTAACCTCAATGAGATATACATCCATCATAGTAATTTCAAATTTTTCTAAATCAAAGAATTTATCTACAAGATAAGTTTTGCTTCTAATAGGTATCATATGTTTCTAACCTCAATGAGATCTACATCCATCGTAGTAATTTCAATTTTTTCAAAGCAAAGAATTTATTTACAAGATAGGTTTTGCGAGGACCACTTGATATTCATATCCACGCTTTAAATAAGACCAACATGCATAAGTTTCGAGATATCGTTTTGCTATTTTCATTCCATAAATCTTGTCATTATTTATGAGAATGCCCATAACTTTGGAACAAACCTTCTTGCTTATGGATAGTAATGTGTTTGAATGTTGTGTTCTTGTTTGAATATTGTGTTACATCATCACTCATGATGTAACACAATATTCAAACAATCCACAACTAGATAATGCGTGTTGGATTGGAAAGTACCATACCCCATAGTCAGATTTTGAAGTAACATATGATGTTCTTTCAAAATGATAATCTCTGGTATGTTGGGATCATGATTTGACAAGTTTGCGATGTTCTCATCATATTTGGTGTTAATTCTAAGATAACTGCAATCAGGCACTTGTGGAAGGACAAGATCATCACCTGCTACTGCTGCCAAACACATCATCGCCAAGGGCGGAACTAATATCTAGAGAAATATTGAACAAAGATTTAATTAGACCGGCAACAATCACTTTTGCCGGAAAGAACCTGCTTGCTCAAATCCTTAATTAGAAATAACGAGACTCGGAAAAGAGAAAAGAGAAGTACAATACGAGGTGAAACGCTGTGATACAATGATAAACTATAGAACAACACAGAACTCACTGTGTTAGAAGATAGAAAACTTGATAGATAATATGTAACACATTGTATATATATATCCGAAGCAACTAGTCTAAACCCTAAACCTAATCTACATCTGGTCAACAGAAGAGTATACGTCCAACAGAATCTGTATGCAATGTCGATGCTGAAGCCGAGTTGACAGGAAAACCCAATGATAACGCAAGGAATTCTTTGCCGAAACTAAGAAAAACCAAGGCAACAATGTGATGTGTAAATTACATGCAGAATACATCCTCCGACCTGATCGACCGAACAATCTTATGACACAAGCTTTTGCACATGCATTCGGAATTCGGTTCCTGCTGCAACTAAGAGATTGACGAAGTTGCGGCGAATGAACCAGAACTGGCGAGTCTTCGTCACGAAACAAGTGAGTAGATTGTAATGGCCACAATACCATGCACGTGGATGGCCAGAATCACCAACTTCCTTTGCCTGGAAAAGTAAATCTAAACTAGAGGAATCTCCTGGCTAATCCCTCGGAATTTGCACCACATACAAAGAAGTTTCCGCGGACTCTCCACAAACACCCCTTTAACCAGATACCACAGATGATCGAACCGATTCTTGGGCCCAACTTTGACGTCGCGATACAGGTTGAACGTGGAGAAGATACGGCGAGCGGCCTGGATGAGAACGAGAATAAGACCCAAAATCGTGCAGACTAGCATGAGGGTCATAACTTATGACCCTCATGCTAGTCTGCACGATTCGAGGTTCTGCAACCATGCTTATGACTCATAAGCATGGTTGCAGAACTTCATGACCATTCTACGCAGTGTCAAGGAGCTGCAGCAGCGAACTGCCAGGTGGAGAGGGGTGTCCATATGTAATATGTAATGCCGAAAATAGCCAAGAAGTGGAGAGGAAGAATCAATAACTTGCCCCGCGTGAAAACCTCGTTCCGATCTAAAGGATTCGAAGAGCTCATGACTAATAGCTTTCGGGAATTAAATTGAATATTTAAGGCTCCTAGCCAAGCCTTCATTACTATCATTAAACTATTCAGGAACCACGTCTCGACCGTAGGTTCGAGGTCGAGGTAAAGTAAAGCGTTCTTGAACGTGAAGATGATACGGTGAGCGGCCTGGATGAGAACGAAAACAGCACCCACAATCGTGCAGACCAGCATGGCGACTCGAGCGTCCGGAGGCAGGTTGGCAAAGCCCGCCCCGATGAAGGCTACCATTCCGGACACGACACAGAAGACGAGGGGGATGACGAGCTGGGCCTGCTCATGGTCGTAGAAGACGCGCAGAGACCTTGACGTGGTGTTGATGAATAAGCCCGTGATGCGCTGCATGTGCTGCTGCGTGGAGATGGACGTGCCCAGGCAGCACAGGATCGTGTACATGGAGAAGTAGAAGGACATGCAATTGTAGGTCCAGAATATGCTCGTCCAGAAGGCATTGTAACCGAAGGCGGCACCGAATGGCGGTTGTAGCAGAGCACTGAATGTTACCCCTCCAAGCAGCGCGGCCGCGACCAGCACGGTGTTGACGAAGTTCAGAGCACCCGTCTTCATGCTGTTGACCTCGTTCATGAGCAGCTCGTTCCCCGGGTGGCGCTCGAGCATGTCGAGGACGAGTGCAGGTGGATCGAGCTGTTCCCGGATTGCAAGCTGCACGAGGATGGGAGCCAGGCCATATCCAGCGGGAGGACGCCAAACTTGTTGTAGATGTTGGGCTGGAATCGGGGATGGTTGCAGAACTTCATGACCATTCTTCGCAGAGTGAAGGAGCTGCAGCAGCGAATTGCGAGGTGGAGAGGGGTGTCGGACACGCAGCTCGCCTCGTAGAATCGGAACCGTTCGGATTTCTTCCGGGTCCACCAGGTGTACAATGTCAGTTCCGTCCATGGCGGCCGTGCGAGACCTACTCTCGATTTCAGGACGGCGTTCACGTCCACTTCTCGGTGGGACATCAGGACGTCGAATGTCTCCGTGGATTCCGCTCTGATGGCGCAGTGCAGAGGCGTCATTCCGCTGCCATCGGCTGTGAGGATGTTCACATTTGCGCTCGGGCAGTTGGAGAGGAGGTGCGAGAGGACCTCTGCGTTGTCTTGTGTGGCAGCCAGGTGAAAAATCGTGTGCCCTGCCATCGAGCATTCGTACTTCAGGTAGCGGTCAATGACCTCTCGTACCATTGACTCTGCATACAACCTCTGCCTCTCCTCTGCCCGTTCAATCTTCATTATTTCCCAAAAAGTAAATAAATAGCTTCCGTCAGCTTTTCTTCTCGATCTCCCAGTATTCATTCCGATTCTCCTGCTCGGAAGTCCCAGACTCATCTTTCGGAGGAACGCCGGAGACTTTCTGTAAAACATCGTCGCTCCGGAACAATTTAATAGGGCACGATTGCAGCCAGGGCAGATCGATGAGCCTAGCGGCAGGACCAACTGCACGGTTGATTTGATCAGGGCACGCTTCAATTAATGTCCTGACCATGACCAATTTGCAAATTCCCCTGTGCTTCATTACCTCCATGAGCAAAGGAGTGAGGTTCTGAACAGAGTCTTCTGGGCAAATGTCGATACCGGGAAATTTAATCAGTTCCTCGACGACCCTCTGGTGCCCTCCTCCTACTGCATAGTGCAAAGCTGTTCTGCCCAGCACTTTATCTCGGGCATTAACATCAGCAGTAGGATTGTTTCCATACCAGTGAAGCAAGGATGTGACGATGGTTTCATGGCCTCCATAAGCGGCGCAATGCAAGGCCGTGTGTCCGTAGGATGTGGCCACTTCGACCTTCAGTATACCATCTAAAAGAATTTTATCCACTTCATCTTTCTGACCCATGGCTGCTGCGCGATGCAGTGGAGTGAAGCCTCCTGACTCATCGAGAGACGATGAGACAGACCTGTTTCTTTGTTGCCCCGGCTGCGATCCCTCGATCAACGGATGTGTGGAGCCTTCCTGTGCAGCATTTATTTCTTGTCCCATGTTGTCTGAAATTTGCTTCTGCAGATGCGCAGATCAACAACTAGTCTGACCTGCGTCCGAGGTCATCCCAATTTAAGTCATGCGAAGGAAACAGCACTGCTGTTTCCTTCGTTAGAATCGCCTGCTGTTACAGCAGGCGATTTTAACTTTTTAGACCCCTCGAGAAATGGCCGCATATGGATCCGCTCGGCGGCAAATTTCCATATTCAGCATCGACCTAATCTACTTATTGTCTCACACACGATAGATAACGAAGAATAGAAAAAAGTCAAACTACTCAGACCCAAACTAGAGCAGCAGACTCCAGTTAGTGATTTGAATACAGCCCAAAACGCACGTACCCAAAAGCTTGGAGAGTCGGAGAACTCGTACGAGTACGACGATATGAATTGCGAGGATAGTGACAATTTCCTCCCAATCCACCTCGCACTTCTTTTAGTGCTGTCTGTCTTGAGAAGTACTTTGAGTTCTCGGGGCCGAACATCTAGTTGAGAAGCACTTTGAGTTCTCGGGCCCACCAGCAACTAGTTGAGAAGGACTTTGAGTTCTCGGGGCCCAACAACTAGTTGAGAAGTCACAGCAAAAATTTTCGAGGTATAACCACATTACAATACGTACATTTGACGTATATATATAGTATACAGTCCCGAGTATGTTTAATTTATTGACTTATCCCACCGTCTATAACTCTAGAATACATGAATAAATTTTTTCATACATACGAAGACAATTCGTATATAAAATGCAAATGAGGCACCCTCAAAAGGGCATGCCGCATGCCCCTTTGAAGTGTGCCTCCAACACTAGCAACAACCCATTTCACTAAAATGGGTCATTTCACCCATATTCACCACTGACATTTTGGTAAATTGACGAACGTCAATGGTTTTGCCATCTTAGGGAGCATACACTAGCCTCACTTGCACAAAGTGGAACCAAGAGTCTACTTCAACTCAGTGCAGGGCACGACAAATTATGTGATTCAAATTGAAAGCATAAAACCATGATCTGGGTTCCAAACGACATCATAGACCGTGTTCAAAGGGGGCTCCACGTCTCTTGATAAGGACAACCTATGGTGAACTTGAACAGATATAGGTTTTTGATGTGCACTGGTTACTCAACCGAGTGGCTAATTTAACAGCTCTGCAGATGAATGATAAATATTAAAGACTAGTCAATAGCTAAGATGGTGAGACGTGGACGCACAGTGTCATGGAATGCTTGGAAGCACATATATCTGAGATATAAATACTCTAAGTAATGTAAAATTTCATGGTTTTCTCCTATGTTAACTTACCATTGGAAGTCATAAATTCCATTAACTTCTTAAGGCCCGTAAGAAGTATATGAAATTAAAAACTAAATTCCCCGTAAGTTACGGGGAATGTAGATAAGAGATATTTTGAGGGTAACTCTCAGCGTATCACTAATGAGAATAACGTTGAATTCAATTTATGAGATTGTTTTTGAATATAGATGGAATTCCTTTTACTGTAAAATAAAAATGTATATTTTAGAAATATATACTACTATATCTGTAGTATAAACTAATGTAATATATTTTTAATTTCATCCCGGCCAAAGGAGGCCTTCTTCGGGGCCTTGTAGTAGGCCTGCAAAACAGTAATCTAACACTTATGAAACCTGACCAAGAGGTGCGGAAAATGCTAGAACCAATTTGTCGAGAAGGTGTGAATGAGGTACAAAGGCCAACGGGGATTGGTCAGGATGCCTTGTTCCTGTGGGCACATGAATCGAGTAAAGGGGACATCGTCACGGATACTCTTGAACGGGATTGGTGAAAAAATTCGACGAATTCGTGGTATCGGTGCACAAGCTCTTATACGGTTGAGCGAAAAGAATCCACGGGTCCAGGCCCGGAACCACGAACCAACTCCAGGCGTTCCGAATACAGATATTCGCACCACTTTCGCGAAATTAAAGGTAAGAGGAATCTAATAAAGCCAACTAGTAAAGTCAACTAGATCAACAAATAAATTTTTGTTGAAAATACGTAACTTTTGGAAATCTAAAGTTCGATTGACGACAAGAAGTAGAGAGGCCTGGGATGACCAACATCCGTACCTTTCCTCGCGACCCAATACGATGTGACTATCGCGCAATGGTACGGAAATCTAGGGCACGAGTTCTTAAGTTTGTACCAGGCCTCTCTACCTAGGGAGCTTTACGTATGTTCCATATTAGAACAAAATATGTATTATCATCTAAATTAATTATGAAATGCGTGGAGTTTAACAAATCTTATATGTATTTTTCAATAATGTCCGAATTTAACTGTAATGTAATACACGTTAGAGAGATATGGATGTTATTTGAAATTTCTGAAGATTTTTTCAGCACTGATAAATCTACGGCGGGTTTTAGAATACTCCATAGAACTCTAGATTTGAAGTGCACAAAGTCCAAAAGCTACTTGTGTTCTTCCATTGCCTGATAATGTCGTTATGAAGAAAGTTCCAAAAGATCTTGATAACGATAACGAGTTGAACGAGTTTTTTAACGAGTTGAACAACATCTCATGTTTTCAAAGCCTTAAGTTCATGAGGTAACCAAGGAGTCAACATGTTTGGAATTTGCATGTATGAACTCATCCCGCGTCAGTTTGATCTTGCTCAGATTGCAAATTGATTCCAAAAAAATTCTCAATTGTATACAGAACTTTAAATCTTGACTCTGGTCCAATTCTGCCAACAATTAGATAACAAAATTGTAGTTAAATGAAATAATAATGCGAATGAATTTTGATCCTAAACAACTATTAAGAGCAACTATTTAAAAATGTAAACAGTTCGACATAGCTAGAATGTAGAACTTTTATCCGTAAATGGAAAAAGAATTATGTATTTTTATAAAGAATTTCTTTCCAAAAAAAATCTCTATAAAAATACAGAACTTCATGAAAACTAATTGTAGAATATTCTAAACTCCAGTGAGGGATTTCCGGATTTAGAAAGTCAAGGGCGTGGTAAAGTCATAGACAAATTTACCCAGTACCTGCGGGTGGAAACGGCGAAGGGCCCTAGGGTATATTTCCCTACACCTACCGAACTGAGGGTTATACGAAAATAATTCTTGGTGAAGAACATCAAAGACCCGGAGAGAATCCTTGGTCTGATGTTCTTACGCACCACTAGGCACCCGGCCCGATAGATGCTCATTTATAGGTTGCATGGAGAGTAAGATCGAAATGTAATGTATCCTTGCGCTGAAACGCAGCGCAGCGGGCGGCCCCAAAATGTCCATAGTAAGCTCTATCAGCGACCGAATCAGTGGGCTAGAAGCTCTTCACGCCGCATTTAATCAGAAACAAGTTTCCTTATGCACGGAGCACCGCAAGTAGGATCGGATGCAGAGCAAAATATTTTGAGGCATGTTCGTATTACAATATGTACATTTGACATATTCGAAAATGTATATCTATAGAAATAAAATATTCTAAAAATATTTTATTTTTAAATATTCTTAGAAGTGACATTGTTGTAAGGTTTTAGTAGATACATATTTCCTTTATATATAAACATTTGTTTATATATAAAGGACATGCCCCATGGGGCATGCCCAAGCATGGATATATTACGCGAACGTACATAAGGTAGTCTAAATTACCTGAAGTGTATGGTGATTAGGCCTAAACGAAGATGGGTGTGATTTGATGCTTATATGTTGCAACCAATGTGGAGAGGGATATCAAACGCAGAATTGACTAATTTTGTAATTTTATTTTTTTAAATTAATGCAAATTTATATAAAATAATAAAAATAAATTAAATTCTTGTCAGATAAAAATATTTAATAACCTAAATTAAGTTTTTAGATGTTGAATTGGTCTAAAACCTTTTAGTAGACTAAATTAACATTTATGAGGAGACTAAATTAACCGAATTTAAGTGAGTGAATATTATAACCGAATGATATAATAATATTTGATAAAAACTGAATAAAACCCGACTTTTGTAATCTCAGAGATCATGGGTTCTTTTAATAAAATCCTTTAAAATTCCATTGTAAAAAACCGCGTCATGCCACCACATTTGCTTCCGCCTCCACAAATGTTTCCTGAGGCAATGTACTAAAATTTATAGAGGCATTGTACTAGAATTTGTAGAGGGCTGTAACCCCCTCTGGACCAGATTCGATTAGACGATTGGTTCCAGGACGAGCAAATAATAGGTATTAGTGGTTAGGTGGGCGTTCACGCAGTATCTAGAAACGTCATGATGTTGAAAGTCGTAACGCGTTTTCTCCACTTATGACCGTTGGTGTACCGTCGGACTAATATTCTTTTACTACAAAAGTGCAAGAACCATCCCCTATCATCCTACCTTCGATCTTACTAATTTCCTCTGATAGCCGAAGCCACCATTCGGAGTGAGAAGTTGCGCAGCACTTGACCAGAGGAAGATGGCGCGTAGAAAGAAGGGTCGAGTTTCCGAAGGACCGGAGGTCGGAAATCGCCTTCAGATTTCCACACACGACGACACTTCTAGAAATGGCTGAAAAGATAAAGCACCTTTAGTCGCGCGCTCCAAACATAAAGCGCTCTCCCTCTCGTAGATTGCTACGCACCTCCTTTCGTATAGTGCTCAATAGTAAAGCCCAAGGATTGCGGTCATTTACCTCTTGAATATTTTAAGACTTTTGTCTTACCCCTGGTGAGTTTACTACGTGAGTTTATGGATAATACAAGATGACCAATCTTTCGGTAATCCATCACAACGTAATTAATTTTGGTCACAATTACAAAAAGCCAACGAATATGAGAATTTATCTAATTGGTCTTGTCGCTGAGAGTTTGTGTGAGTTTTTTTCTTACACAAGACGGATGAATATTCGTTGATCAGGGCAACTATCCTCTTAACACTATTGGTTATGCCATTATTCGATCATTTATTTTGGTAAAAAAAAAGCCAACAAATGTAAAAATATATCTAATTGGTCTTTTCGCTAAAACTTCTTGTAGCGTTTTTTAACAAAAGACTAGTATGAATATGTGTAGATTAGAGTAGCTATTCATTTGCACAATCGAATGTTAGACCCCAAAGAAATAGATGTGTCGTGGACACCCAAGGCCTTTCCGGAACGACGGGCTAATAGGCAATAAATAGGCTTGGCTGCTCCACACCTTGAGCCTTGTGGGGGCGGGCCTCAATCCGAACCCCATGGTTCAAGGGACGCGAGACTATGGGTAGAGGTGCTACGCACTTGGGGGTCCGAAGGTGAGTAAGCAGTGGAAAAGGTCTGGAAAGTGCATACTCACTTTCCAGACCCACAAAGTTCAGCGCGGGCCGAAGAAAGTTATAGTTGAATAGGACGCCCGGTAATGTCGCTCGGCCTGGTTACGAAAAGGTCCAGGATTCTTACAAAATGGCCGCTAACGGCTACAGCAGATATAGATAAATGATTGAGGGGGAGCACGTTAGACAACAAGAGAATCCGTTATTTCCCGATGTACGAAGAGTAAGGCTGGTTAAGTTTGCTTGGTTTATATAATTCTTGGAATTGATTTACAGTTTCAAGATATATATTTGTCAGATATTTAGCTCATCCCAACGTAAATACTTATGCTATGATAAAAAAAAATCAATTAAAAAGATGAATTATTAGACTTGATTAAAACTAAAAAATCACTAATTTTATTTTTC